CACTCTGAAGATGAAAATAACAGACTAAAATAATGAAAATATGATTTAATCCCACTTCACAGGTAGAAATAACAAACAAATAAGGGAGATCTGCTCTGAAGATGAGAATAACAAACTAAAATAAAGTATGATTTATATCACACTTCTTCTTCAGCTTGTTGACATGATAGATTACATTAATTTGTGTAGGGCCTTTGGTGCAGTGGTTGATTCTACTTGGGGGTGGGCCTTGTGGTATTAGTTGTGGTTAAGTTTCTGCTTAGGATGCCCACACGCTTTATCAGAGTGCCAGTTCAACTCCTGTCTACTCTGCTTCAAATCCAGCCTTCTGCTAATGCATATAGGGGGCAGCATAAAAGAGCTCAGCTGCTTAAGCCCGTGCCACCCATGTGGGAGACTCAGAAAGGGTTCCAGGCTCCTGGCTTTGGCTAAACCCTGTTCTGGGCATTTGGTTAGTGAATTAACAGCTGGAAAATTGATCTCTCTCTTTTATAAATAAATATATATATAATCTATAAGTAGATGAAATAAACAAATAATAAATACTTTTTAAAGTCAGTATATGGGATTCCTGTATCCCATATCAGAGAGCTTTGCTGAGTCCTAGCTCCTCTGCCTGTGGGACAAATTCCTGCTAAAATGCACCCTGGGAGGTGGCAGGTGATTACTCAAGTATTGGGTCCCTTCCACCACATGGAGGACCCAGATGGACTTCTGGGCTCCTGACTTCAGCCTGGTCCAGCCCTGGCTACTGAGGGCATTTGGGGAGTGGGCCAGCAGATAAAAGAGAACTCTCCCTGTCTCTGTCTCTCCCTTTCAAATAAAGCAAATATTATGGTTAGTGGTGAGTTAAGACTGTGATTATAAGAGTGGATTAAAATTATGTCTTTGCAAATATTAATGAAAAGAAGAATCAGATGGGTTAGTAGATAGTCAAGGGATCCCAGTGGAATTTGGGGTATAAAATACTTGCTTCCTTCCCTAAAACGATATCTTTAGGAAGAAAAAACAGGCCATCCCTCCATCCTCCTTCCTTCAGAATCTCCAATTTTACCATGAGAATAGCAAGGGAGCTACCCCTGAGCTCCCACCCTTAGCAGGCAGGATAAAATGGAGAATTGTAAATGAGGTCTTTTGGTGGTTTTTGTCCTCACCTGGTAACTAAATGCCAATGTGGTTGTCAGTTTTTTTAATTGTACTTAAGCCAAATGCCACCAGTCCCCTTTTGGTTGTCCTCTCTTGGAATTCCCCTTCCACACAGCTCTGACTGGAGATCTTTGATTCTAATAAATACTTTTAAATCTCTTTGCAAAAAATAAAAGAGTGGGAAAGAGAGGGGTTGGGAGAGGGAAAGCAGGAGGGTGAGAAGTATGGTTTTCTACTTAGAACTGTACCTATGAAGTACATAAATCTCTTCTCTTTATATTAATAAAAATAAAAAAGGAAAAGAAACAGAGCTGCATTTGGTTTAAAGAAAAGTTTACATTAATTATTATTATTTTTTTTTTGACAGGCAGAGTGGACAGTGAGAGAGAGAGACAGAGAGAAAGGTCTTCCTTTTTGCCGTTGGTTCACCCTCCAATGGCCGCCGCGGCCGGTGCACTGCCGCCAGCGCACCACACTGATCCGATGGCAGAAGCCAGGTATTATCCTGGTCTCCCATGGGGTGCAGGACCCAAGTACTTGGGCCATCCTCCACTGCACTCCCGGGCCACAGCAGAGAGCTGGCCTGGAAGAGGGGCAACCGGGACAGAATCCGGCACCCCGACCGGGACTAGAACCCGGTGTGCCGGCGCCGCAAGGCGGAGGATTAGCATAGTGAGCCGCGGCGCCGGCCGCCTTATTTTCTTGTAATGTCTTGGTTTGGTTTTCATATTAGGGTGACACTAATAGAATTGTTATTAGAATGAGGTTGTATTCTTCCAGCTTCTATATTCTGGAAAAGATTGTATGTAACTTCTATACATTCATCCTTAAATGTTTAATAGAAGTCATCAGCAAACCCATCTGGGTCTGGTACTTTTATTAATTAGTAAGTCAATTTTAAATAGATATAGGTGCATTAGTTTTTTTAAAAATATTTTGTTTATTTATTTCAAAGTCAGAATTATACAGAGAGAGGAGAGGCAGAGAGAGAGAGAGAGAGGTCTTCCATCTGATGGTTCACTCCCCAACTGTCCATAAGGACCGGAGCTGTGCCAATCCACAGCTGGGAGCCAGGAGCTTCTTCCGGGTCTCCCATGCGGGTGTAGGGGCCCAAGCACTTGGGCCATCCTCTACTGCTTTCCTAGGCCATAGCAGAGAGCTGGATCAGAAGAGGAACAGCTGATACTTGAACTGGTGCCCATATGGGATGCCGGCACTTCAGGCCAGGGCGTTAACCTGCTGTGCCATAGTGCTGGCCCCAAAGGTGTATTAGTTTTTTAAAAAATAGATTGATCTATTTATTTGAAAGTTAGAGTTACAGAGGGAGAGACAAAGAGATAGATCTTACATCTGCTGGTTCATTCCCCAGATGGCAGCAATGGCAAGGGCTGAGCCAGGCTGAAGCCAGGAGCCTCCTCCGGGTCTTTCAGGAGCACAAGCACTTGGGCCATCATCCACTGCTTTTCCAGGCGTATTAGTAGGGAGCTGGATTAGAAGAGGAGAAACTGGGACTGAAATGGGTGCCCATATGGGATGCTGGCGTTGCAAGCAGTGGCTTTACCCACTGTACCACAGCACTGGGCTGATATAGGTGTATTAGTATTGTCTATTTCTTCTTGGGTGGGTTTTAGCAAATTGTGAATATGAAGGAATTGGTCCATTTCATCTGTGTCAAAATCTGTGGGCACAGAAGTGTCCATAGTAGTCCTTCATTATCTTTTTAATATTTGTGAATTTGTGAAGATGTTCTTCTATTTATTTCTGATATTATTGTGTTTTCTGTTTTCTTCTCTTTTTCTAAGCCTGGTGAGACGCTTATCAATTACTGATGTTCTCTGATTTACTGTTCTCAATTTCAGCTCTAATTATTATTAATTTTCTTCTGCTCACTTGGGATACAATTTTCTCTTTTTCTAGTTTCCTAAAGGTATAAATTTAGATTATTTATTTTAGATTTTTATTCTAAAAGAAGCTTAAAATCAAGTAGCATTTTACAGATCACTCTTTTTGGATGGGTCCAGGATTCCTACTTTTGTGTAAACTCTGTCTAGTTTCACAGTGTTTCTCAAGGTTTGGCAACTGCCTTCATTACTAGACTGGCTTGAAGCTATAGGCTTTTCTATTTGAGTTCACACTTTCTACTACAGATTTTACAAGTAATTTCTCATTTTTTGTTTGTGTTGGTTTCAATAATCTATTTGAAAAATATTCCATTTGACCTTTTCAGCTTGCCATCATTGAAAAAGTTGGTCCAAGCTATCTAGTTCGACATTACAGCAAATTTCTTCATCATCTATGATATTTGTGTCTTGTACAGGTCTGTGAGGTTTTTCTTTCATGAAAATTAGTCCCTCATATCTACATAACCTGTGTATTTGCTTTCAAATTTCCCTCTTCCATTTTTCCTTTTTTCTTATAATTTTTTTAAATTTTTCTTTAATTTTTCCCACTTTTTAAAAAGATTTATTTATCTATTTGAAAGCTGGTTACATAGGTAGAAGAGGAGGAGAGAAGACAGAACTTCTGTCCATTGGTTCACTCCCCAAGTGGCTGCAATGGCCAACTTGGGCTAGGTCAAAGCCAAGAGCCACGGGCTTCTTCCAGGTCTCCCACGTGGGTGCAGAGGTCCAAGCACTTGGGCCATCTTCTGCTGCTTTCCCGGGTACATAAGAAGGGATCTGGATCAGAAATGGGGCAGCTGAGACATGAACCAGTGCCCATACATGATGCCAGTTTCACAGGCAGCAGCTTAACCTGCTGTGCCATAACGCTGGCCCCTTCCTCTGTTCTGTGTCCCATTCTCTGATGATTTGAAGTCTAACATCTTATTTTATATTTTCTAACCACTGCTCCTAATCAGTTTCAATGTGTAACTGGAAGTATAATTTTAATTAAATTTATTTTGAGATAACTGCAGATTTAAATGTAGTTATAAGAAATAATAGAGAGAGATACCATGTATCTTTTGCCTAGTTTCCCCTAGTGATAACAACTACAAAATTGCACAGAATCACAACTGGGATGTTGTCCTGGGACATTGCCATCATCCTTAAGCCCCCTCTTACTGTCTTTTCATAGCTACATTCATTTGCCTCTTGTCCTTGCCCCCAGGTAGAGTCAAAATCAAAATGGAGTGAGTGTGGCTAAAAGCTAATTGCCGATCTCTTGCTTCTGTACATATTAGCGTTGCTTGCTAATGGCTAAGGATGTATCTTATGAAACCATGTGGACCCAAATCACAGGGAACTAAATTGACAGAAATGTGCCCTTCACTGTTATCTTACAACCATAACTTGGATTTGTTATGGTTCCTGGGTTTGTTATTGTTAACTGTTATCTTACAACCATATTCCATGTTTTTTTTGTTGTTGTTCACTGCATACCAGGGGTTCAAAATGTGAGGCCTAGTGGAAGAATGCTATAAAAAAAACTGTGTAACTCGCTGTTGGGACCGCACTCTGGTAAGGAGTGTCAGTCCTGATTGGTTGCCTTGCCTCTCATTTTCAATAAAGTTTGTGTGTGACTGTCACTGGTTTTTGTAATATTCTATTTTAGCTGACAAGTGGATGCCACAATGGGACATTTCCATCATCATGAAGCCCTCTAATACTGTCTTTTCATAGCTACATTCATTGGCTTCTTGCCCTTGCCCCCCTCTTAAATACTGTCAATCACTAATTTGCTCTCCACTTCTATCATTTTATCATTTTAAGAATGTTATATAAATGCAACCACACATCTATAACCTGCTGGGGACTGAATTTTTGAACTCAGCATAATTCTGTAGAGATTAACCTGGGTTGTTGCATATATCGATAGTTTATTTTTTAAAAAAAGATTTGTTTATTTGAAAGGCAGAGTTGCAGAGAGACAGAGAGGTCTTCCATCCGCTGGTTCACCCACCAAATGGTCAAAATGGTTGGAGCTGCACTGATCCGAGGCAAAGATCCAGGAGCTTCTTTCAGGTCTCTCAGGTGGGTGCAGGGGCCCAAGGACTTGGGCCATCTTCTACTGCTTTCCCAGGCTATAGCAGAGAGCTGGATCAGAAGTGGAGCATCTGGGACTCAAACTGGCACCCACATGGGATGCCAGTGCTGCAGGCAGCAGCTTTATCCACTATGCCATGGCAAAGGCCCCAATAGTTTATTTTTTAAATTGCTGAATAATATTCCATGGTATGGGCTGCCACAGTCTGTTAACCATTCATTGGCTGAAAGACCTATGTTTTTTCCATTTGCAGTTATTACAAATAATGTTTCAGAAGATGTACAGAATTGCACCTGTTTTAGTGTTAACATAAGTTTTCATGACTTTTTGGGATAAATGTAATTTCTGGATTATATGATAGTTGCATGTTTAACTTTTAAAGAAAACCCCAAACTCTTTTCAGAATAGCTATATTATTCTCTAGTTCCACCAAACAAAACATCAGGGATAGATTCTCTGTATCCTTATGTCTGTTTGATGTTTTTTACTTTTACTTTTTATCTTAGTCATTTTGATAGGCATGTAGTCAAGTGTCATTGTCATTTTAATTTACATTTCCCAAATAGCTAACGTTGTTCAATATCTTTTCAGGTTCTCATCTGCTGTCTGTACAAATTATGCTGTGAACGTCTCTTCAAGTCTTTTGCTCATGTTCATATAGCATTGCTTACTTTTTGCCGGTGAGTTGGGGCCATTATCTATGCATTCTGAATATTAGTCCTTTGTCAAATGTGTGGTTACAGATATTTTCTCCAACTCTGTAACTTCTATTGTTATCAGAATCCTTTAAAGAAAAGTCTTAGATTTGATGTGTTTCAGCTTATCAATGTTTCCTTTTATGAATCACTTCTTGTTTTTGGTCTCAAGTCCAAGTCCTGCTTGCCTCGGGCTTCTTACCTTTTTGTTACGTGTTGGCACCTACAGGCCTAAGCACAGTTAAGAACAATTCTGGGCTTCTACACTCAGGCGTGGGTAAAATCAACAGAACAAGGGTCTGCTCTCAAGGCCCAGGCAATGGCGGCATGGCCATGTTTCTAGAGAGGCGTCCGGTACAAAGAATCACAAATTACAATGACCCCCTATTTCTCACTGAAGACACCTGATGCAATAGCATAATATAGGCATACGTTTAAAGATCCAAGAGAAAAGCTTTAGAGCCTAAAAGTCTATATAGTAGCAAATCAGCAAATTATCCACCAAAGTGAAATGCAAATAGTGTTTTCAGATAGATACGTGCCCACAGAGCCTCTCTTCAGCTGCTAACTTACAGACCCACCACTGGGTTGATCTCTTTTTGTTTATATTTATTTATTTATTTGTAGTCAGAGTTACAGAGAGGGAGAGATCGAGAGAAAGGATAATGCTTTCTCCCTATTAACTTTTTTTAGAGATTTTTTTGTATTTATTGACAAAATAATTTTACATATTTATGGGGGATAATGTAATATTTCAATTTATACATACATTTTAATGATCAAATTAGGATAATTAGCATCCAATGCATCATATATTCATGGTTTCCTTGTAGTGTGAACATTCAGAAGCCTTTCTTCTAGCTATTTAGAAAAGTACAGTATGTTATTATTAACTATTATTACCCTACTGTACAATAGAACACCAACAGGATTGTTTTTACAATAAGGAATTATTTTTTAAATCAATAAATGTAAACCTTTCTGAGGTTTTATATATATATATTTTTGAGAGAATTAACTTTGAAGAAGACCCAAGAATGGTACGTCTTTTGTGAGCCCTTAGACATTACTATAGCTTATGAGACATAGATAATATCCTCCACTTAATACATTAAAATGAGGTAAATCTTTGCAAACCAGTTTTACTATTAACTTTTCTAATCCAACTCTTTGAGGGCAGAGGTCCTATATGGGAAGTTAGTGCACAGTGACTCTGTTGTTAATTTAACAATTAACAGCCTTATGTATGATGTCAGTGATCACCTGAGGCTCTTGACATGAGCTGCCTTGGCTGTGGAAGCATTTTGAATCTACTGACTCCTTCCATATTTAGACAAGGTCATGAGCAAAGTAGAAGTTCTCTCCTCCCTTCAGAGAAAAGTACCTCTTTCTTTGATGACCACTTCTTTCTGTTGGGGTCTCAGCCATAGAAGTCCTTCTTGTAGGACATTTTTTGCCATGGTGTTCTGGCTTTCCATGACTGAAATGGTCTCATGGGTTTTTTCAGCCATACAAGAATGCCTTAAGGGTTGTTTCTGAGGTCAGAGTGCTATTTAAAGTGATTGTCATTCTATGAGTCTGTTGTGTGGACTGCTTTTCATGATGGAGCATTCACCCCTTTTTTTTTTTTTTTTTTTTTTTTTTTTTTTTTTTTTTTTTTGACAGGCAGAGTGGACAGTGAGAGAGAGAGACAGAGAGAAAGGTCTTCCTTTGCCGTTGGTTCACCCTCCAATGGCCGCCGCGGCCGGCGCGCTGCGACCGGCGCACCGCGCTGATCCGATGGCAGGAGCCAGGAGCCAGGTGCTTTTCCTGGTCTCCCATGGGGTGCAGGGCCCAAGCACCTGGGCCATCCTCCACTGCACTCCCGGGCCACAGCAGAGGGCTGGCCTGGAAGAGGGGCAACCGGGACAGAATCCGGCGCCCCGACCGGGACTAGAACCCGGTGTGCCGGCGCCGCTAGGCGGAGGATTAGCCTAGTGAGCCGCGGCGCCGGCCCATTCACCCCTTTTTAATTCTATTAGTATTATCAAATACTTAGTCCTATTTATATGATCACTTAACACTTAATCCTATCCCCATGCTCACTCTAACACTCAAAATGCTATTTTTAACACCCAGCTTAAGGGAGTTTGGGATCCCATGGTAACATTTTTGACAAAATAAAAGAGGAAATTGAAGAAAAATAAATCCCACAGTAGAATAATACAGAAAGGAGAGCAAGGGAAGAGAAGAATAAAAATCAAAACTTAAAATTTAAGCAGGAAAACATTTTAGAAAGAGAAAAAATAAGAAATTATAAAAATCCTCAATAATGAGAAAGTTTAACTAAAATATAAGCCTCCTAGTCATCTTCATTCTCTTTCTCCATTCTTTCCCTCTTCAAATGCTTTCAACACCTGTCAAATCATTTAGGTATTCAGCAGTATATTGTAATTAAGAATTCCAGAGGACCAGTCTTCATAAACAAAGATGGTCAGGAAATGTTTCAAGCAGGATTTGAAAGGTGAGAAAGTAGAGAAAGTGATGGATCTTCCAAAAAAATAGAATAGAAAGGAGGAGTGTTGTGATTTAAGCAGAAACAGAGCCCCTTGTATGTAAATATTCCCAATAGCCTTATCTCACCAGGTGTGAAATGACGCCTCCAAGAGACTGAGTGTTCAGCAGAAACCCAGAGAAACTGGGTCCACGTGCGTTTGTCACAAGGGCCAACTTAGGATCTCCTCCTGCTCATGAGCTTCCTCAGGCCACGTTTCAGGTCTTTGTTTCTCAAACTGTAGATAAATGGATTTAGCATGGAGGTCAAAACTGTGTAGACAACGGTTGCCATGTGGTCCTTGACAGTGTAGGTAGACACGGGTTGTAAATAGACATAGAAGATGCTGCCATAAAACAGTGTTACCACGGTGAGGTGAGAACCACAGGTGGAGAAGGCTTTGTGCTTCCCAGCAGCAGAAGGAATCTTGAGAACTGTGATGAGGATTCGTGTGTAAGAGAAAACAATGCATAGGAAAGGGGTCACCAAAACTACAGATCCTTCTGCCATTATCACAGTTTCATTGACAACTGTGGGGGAGCAGGACAATTTCATGAGAGGGCTGAGGTCACAGAGGAAGTGGTGGATAACGTTGGAGTCGCAGAAGGTGAGAAGGTTCAGCAGAAGTGTGTGCAAGAGTGAGTGGAGGTGTGGGAGTGAACAGGAGAAGGCCACCAGCAGGACACAGCGGCGGTGGCTCATGGTGGTAACGTAGTGGAAGGGGTCGCAGATGGCCACATAGCGGTCAAAGGCCATGACTGCCAGAAGGCAGCTGTCGCTGTTGCCGAAGGCATAGATGAAGTACATTTGAGTCAGACAGTCCGCATAGGAGATGGTCTTCCTTTCTGACAGGAAGTTCGCCAGCATCTTGGGGACGATGGTTGTTGTGAACCAAATGTCAGTGAAAGACAGGAAACTCAAGAAGAAATACATGGGAGTCTGCAGCTGGGGGTCAGAGCAGATAGCCAGGATGATGAGCAGGTTCCCTGTGATGGTGACCAGGTAAATGGTAAGGAAGAGGACGAAGAGTGGAGTTTGGTCCTCAGGCCTGGAGGAAAGTCCCACAAGGATGAACTCAGAGACACTGCTGGTTTGGTTGACTCTTTCCATTGGCTTGTGCCCTGTTCCTGCAAGCAGTTTTGTTATTAAATGCACTTCAGTTCTGTAACTCACAGAATGAGAACTCTGCAAGTCTTCACTTCGTGTGTGAGGTCACAAATATCTGCTGTGCACAGGCAGCTGTCAGCCGCATGATCTTCGATGTGCTCGCCCCTGACCACATCTGGGCATCATGAGGGCTCTGTATCAAAGCTGGAGGCACAGAGAAGCATTTCTGCATGAATCATTACAAGTGGACCCCTCTGATTCTGAGTCATTCCTGTTTTATACAAACTACTAGTCTCCTACTGGGAACAGCAATGGAACAGACACATTCTTGACTTGTGGAGCTCATGTTCTAGTTTGGGAGTTAAGTCATCAACAAACCAAATATGTAGTACAGTGTTAGGCAGGGATGAATTTGGTGACTAAAGGGGATGGGGATTGAGGGTGGAGGTGTTTTTGATAGGGAACGAACGAACGACTGTAACCTCCCTATCAAAGCCAATCACTTGTATCATGCTGAACTTCAGCTTTGTATTGCCTCGGAAAAAACAATGGTCCAGCAAAACGACTCCCAGGGTCTGTAAGAGGACTGCTGAACTCAGCTCAGCAGAGTGATTTCATCTCCTCTATCTTCAGTGTGCATGAGTCCTGGCTTTTTTGTAAACTATCATTCGCTTCTTTATCCCCTAACCTAAGTCACATTTGTATAGAATGAGTAGCCAATTTATATTTTTGCTATCTTCATACGTTTTTATAGATAATGTGGAAAATGTTACCTTGCTTTTGTAGACATATTTTTCAAGTTCTATCCAGTTACTTAGAGAAAGGCATCAAAGTGGACACCATTTCTTTCTACCACAAACATTCCTGCAATGAAAGTTCTTGTACAGCAAGTTGTTAAGTCAGTTTTTCAGAGTTGGCATGTTTATCTGTACCTTGTGACTAGATATACTACACAGTGATTTTTAATAATTTTAACATATGGGTTACTTCTAATATAGTTACTTCTAATTACTGTTGACTACCATAAAAATCTCAATAATGAACATATTTGTTTATAATAATTTTTGAGAGCATGTTCTTTCACACATTATGGATAGGTCTATTACATTAGAATTATCACACATTTCAAAATATAATTTTCTTTAAAACCAAATATCTACATTTTCATTATTAAGTTACTAACCTGCTTGAAATCTGTTTCCTCGTGTGTAAAATTGGACACAAATATCCACATTGTCACAGGATTTAATGAGGTTATATATTTAAAAGACATAGAGGAGGGTCCAGCGTGTTGTAAACACTCAGAATGAGCTGTTGGTCACCATCAACCCTTGAGTCATCTTCCCTTACCTGTCATTCCTGTATGTTCCAACAGCTAATTAATTTGCATATTCAAAATATTGTATACCTCAAATTATCAGACTTATTTCATGATTTTGAAAGTTTTTATAGAAAAAAAATATTTGCTGATCCATTAAATGCTTTGAGTGAATGCATAATCAAGGTTGATCACTGTTACTTATTCAAGATCTATTAATTGTGGACACACGCTCAGCATCTCACTAAATCCCCGATAAGGGATGACGACGCGTGCACTATTACTACTGCCACTTCATACCAGCAGAGTGAGGTAGCGAGAAGTGAGGGCGTTGTGCATGGAAACATGGGTTAAAGTCCCAGGGGATTCACTCAGAAGCCCATTCTCCTAACTGTGATTCTATAAATCTCCAAATTTTGACAAAGATACAAATGCATGGATGTGCATACATAGGAACTTCAAAAAGTTCATGGAAAATAGAATAAAAATATGTTAATTTTGGTACAAAAAGTTTTGAAATCCATGCATAGTGTTTTCATAATACACATTTGCATACAAATTTTGAAGACTCTGTTGATGCACCAAAGTAAAATTGTCTTTTAATTTCATTTTCTGTGAAATTTTTGAAGCTCCATTACAGTATATGAGGGAGTGTCAAAGAGTTCATGGGAATGAAAATAAAAAATGAGTTCATTTTGATGTGAAAAATTTTTGAGATACATACATATAAGGAGTCTTCAAAAAGTTCATGGAAAATGAGCATTGTAAAAAAAAAAATCAGGCAGGGACCCATTTTCTTGTCCCATGTTCAGAATATGTCGTATTGCAAGAAAGGCAATGTGTCTTTCTATATTGAGCAGGTCATGGCTTTTGAAAATTTGAATATGGGATCAGCATTGTGGTGCAGCAGCTTAAGCTGCTGCCTGTGACACCAGCATCCCATATGGGCACAAGTTTGATTCCTGGCTCCTTCACTTCCCATGCAGCTCCCTGCTAATATACCTGGGAATCAGCGGTAGATAACCCGAGTACTTGGGCCCCTGCACCCACGTGGGAGACCCTGATGAAGCTCCTGGCTTTGGCAAGGCCCAACTTTGTCTGCTGTGGCTATTTGGAGAATGAACCAGCAGATGGAAGATTTCTCTCTTTCTCTATCTCATTACTCTGTAACTCTGCCTTTCAAATCAATACATAAACCTTTTTTAAAAGAAAGAAAGTTTGAATATCTATGAATGACTGGCTAAAATAAGGTAGAAAATTTGTGGCCATGCATGGTGGGGGTGTGTGGCATTGGTAGTGCACAGGACAGACCCTGTCTGATTCCTCATTTTTTTTTTTTTTTGAATAGCAAGTGAGAGAACATGTCTGAGAGTAATTTGTCAAACACAAACCAGTATTTAATAAAGGGGTCATTCCTGAAAGGACTACCTAAAGTTGCAGAATTTAAAAATAAAGCAAATTTGGATTAAGTGATGTTGGCTGCTTCACAGCACACGTGTGAGGATGACCTTTGCTGATGACTAGGGTAAAGGAATAAGGTTTGGGATGTCTGAGTAAGGGAAATAATTACCAGTGTATGAGGCTGCAGAGATTTTCTGCTGAAACCAAAACACGTGGCAAAGATGGTCTGGAGGCCAAGTTGGGTGGACCTACATTTAAAAGCCAGATAGGGCCGGTGCCATGGCTCACTAGGCTAATCCTCTGCCTGCGGTGCTGGTACCCCAGGTTCTAGTCCCGGTTAGGGCTCCAGATTCTGTCCCGGTCGCTCCTCTTCCAGTCCAGCTCTCTGCTGTGGCCCGGGAGGGCAGTGGAGGATGGCCCAGGTCCTTGGGCCCTGCACCTGCGTGGGAGACCAGGAGGGGGCACCTGGCTCCTGGCTTTAGATTGGCGCAGCACGCCGGCCATGGCAGCCATTTTGGGGGGGTGAACCAATGGAAGGAAGACCTTTCTCTCTCTCTCTCTCTCTCTCTCTCTCTCTCTCTCTAACTCTGCCTGTCACAAAAAAAAGCCAGATGGAGGTTTCAATTGCACCCCAACTTCTTAGTGTAAGAAGTAGCTGAACCCATCAGGGAGGACCGAGTACATGCCCAGCTGGCTGGGTGCCATGGGGGCTCCCCTCACTGCAGCTCACCTCCACGTCCACAGGCTTTTCGTTGCTTCCAAGTTTCTCCAGAAGCTGAGCTTCTGCACAGCCTCTGTGAATGAATTCAAGTCTGCTCCTCAGCCAGAGCTCAGCTTCCTCACGCTTCTTCCTTGATCTGGGCTGATGGGCAAGGAGAGGAGCAGGGGCAAGGGAAGGATCGCTCTACTGCTCTGACGGGACAACACAGTTCTCTGACGGCCTTAAATCCATCCTACACTCTGACTCCGGGTGATGCTGCCCTTTTCCAGCTCTGCACTCTGAAGGCAGACGTGCCCTGAGCTGAGTGGCGAGGACTCTGTTGGCTGTGGAAGCCCAGCAGCTTCTCACGGGGTTGAGGTCTGCTCTCCTGCCCCTGGGACCCTTGTTGGGCTGAGGGGGCTGTGCCAGCCTCTCAGGGGATTCTGTGCTGTGCTCTCTCTAAGCAGAGAAAGCAGAATGGGAATTCCTGCTGCCACAGGTGACTCCAAAGGGGACAGGGGACCCCTGAGGCTCCCTGTTTAGATGTCGGGGACTAATTTCAGAGCTTCTGAACTTCACTGCAACATCTCAATGGAATGTTTCAATATTTTCACGTAATTTTTTTTTAACTTTTATTTAATGAATATAAATTTCCAAAGTACGGCTTATGGATTACAATGGCTTCCCCCCCATAACGTCCCTCCCACCCGCAACCCTCCCCTTTCCCACTCCCTCTCCCATTCCATTCACATCAAGATTCATTTTCGATTCTCTTTATACACAGAAGATCAGTTTAGCATGCATTAAGTAAAGATTTCAACAGTTTGCTCCCACACAGAAACATAAAGTGAAAAATAATAGATGATTTTTTAAATGATGATGAAATCAGATCAGACCTATTGTCATGTTTAATCCCAGCGAGAGTCAAGTTGGTTATTAAGAATTGATAAATAATTACGCTGGTAAACATTTCACGTTTGGGAATTCTTATTCAACTATGTACTCATGTCTCATTGTTTTAATTTGGAATTCCCTGATATACGAGGGTGGAGCATTTTCTCATATGCTTATTTTTCAACTGTATGTCGTCTTTGATGGGGTGCCTGTTAAGATCTTTGGCCCATTTTTAATGGGGATTTTTGTTTAAATATTGTTGTATTTCAAGAAATATCTCTATGTTTTAGACAACAGCCCTTTATCACATAAGTTTTGTGCACATATTTTCTCCCAGTTTACAACTTATTTGATTCACTTGTGGAGAAACTATTCACTAGAATTCATAGATACAATTCAAAAAATAATAATATTCACTCATATTTAGTATATTCTAAAATAATCACAGATAATTAAAACTATAGTAGCATAACCTTCTTAACCATTTGTTTGACAAAGGAATAAAACAAAGTTTGCAGCAATACTGATACACATAGGAATTTGTTTTTTGTTTTTTGCTTTTTCCTTTTTAATTTTAATAATGTCCCATATATAAGGGAGGACATATAACATTTGCTTTTCTTTTTATCCAGCTTATTTTACCTAACATGTACCCTCCATTTGCATCCATTTTGCTTCAAGTGGTAGAATTTTATTCCTTTTTATAGTGGAATAATATTCCATTGTGTATATATGCCACATTTTCATTATCTGTTCATCTGATGATGAACATATTGGTTGATTCCATATTTTGGCTATTGTGAGCAATGCTGCTAATAATCATATTGATGCAGGTATCTCTTTGATACAATGTGTTCCTGAGTTGGGTATATACCTAGAAGTAAGATTGCTGGGTCATGTGGCAAGTCTAATTAAGTAAATTTGCAGGTTACAAAATAAACAAACAGCTTATTTTTATATGTCAATGACAAACTCATATAAGAAACAAATCCCATTCAC